TATTAAGTTGCATGATAAATGAGGTTTTGAGGAGTTGGGAACCCACTAAACTGTTGTTATTCCCAGGTTTACACAGTATTATTGGTAATTCTTTTTTAAATGTATTTCACTACAATTTCAGCACAAAAATGTATTGTTAATTTTTTATAAAAATGTATTGCTGGTAATTTCATTACAGAAATATGTTACTGCTAATTTTACTACAGAAATATATTGCTGGTAATTTCACTACAAAAATGTATTGCTGATAATTTTTTATAAAAATGTATTGTTGGTAATTTTACTATAAAAATGTATTTTTATACATTTTTTAGTGTTGTATTTTACTATAAAAATGTATTGTTGGTAATTTTATTATAAAAATGTATTGTTGATTTTTGTTTGGGAGTTTACTATTTGCCTATAGCTGGGAACATAACAGGTGCAACTACCCTGGGTCAGGGTGGACCTGGGAACAACAGCAATTAAGAGGTGGTTCCACATTCCTCAAAACCTCCCAATCAGAGGCTTTGCTGCTGGATGTAGCTTATTGTCATACTCTGAATGATATAGAATTTGTTGTTTATTATAGATGTATACAAAATTTACATTACTGAGAAAAGGTTATATGCATAATGAAATTTAATATGAACTAATACCCTATGATACCTTTCCCACAGATGAAACATTGAAAGTCTCTTGCTACTCTATTATTATGTCCATGACATATGTTCTGATGAGTTACATTCCTTGGTTTCACCAGCCCTGATCTTTGCAACTGGGACCCACTATGCCCCATTCTCATTGTATTCTATTAGTAAGAAGTAAGTTCCACTCGCACAGCTTCTTCCCAAGTACTGCTGCTTTGTGGAACACACCCCCAGCAGGATATTTTCCCAATCACTATAATCTTGACTGAGGGTTAACTGTTTTTTTTTCTACATATATTCATGAACTTCACTTCTTGCCTTTTTTTTATGCTCATACAATATCACTCTACCTTGAGTGGCTGTTGGGTTTTAAAAATCATTGTAAAATTAATTTTATCCTTGGTAACACCAAATTATCTTACTACTTATAAAAATGAAAATTCTGTCGGAATAAAAAATTGGAAATTATCTATCAGCTGTCTGTTTCCAAGACTTACAATTAATGCTAACTCTGTTGGAATTTTATATTGATTGCATTGTCAATATTCAGCTGCAGTTCTGTTTAAATATTCCAATGGATAAATTTATTTGCTTTCTTTTTAGCAAATGTGATAGTTGCACTTTACTATTTATTGTATTACAAACTAAAGTTTCACAATGATTTTATCTCTTTTCTCAGTACATAAAACTCTTTTATTTTCTGCTGCTTGAGCATCTCATTTAAAAAAGGAGTTGTAAAAAATTCTAAGATTTTCATTTGCAGCTCTTAATAAACTATAGCAAGTCATCAAAATAGATACTTTATAAAATAAAATTCTGAGAGTAGGTAAATAATAGCGAATAGTTCAGCTTTGAATCCATAATATAAAAATCGTAATTACAAGCCAGTTTTTAACCTATTTTCCATCATTTAAAACACTTCTTAGAGGACAAAAAATAACCACACCAAAATCCAAAGGCTCAGTAGGATAGCAAAAGATGCCTTCATAAAGCTAAGCAAAACACTAAAAATCAGGAAAATCTCATTAGAAACAAAGAAAAGAGTACTTAACTGTTATTTAATATGAGTTCTCATTTTGTCTGGTTTTTACATGTTCGCACGTTCAGAGTGACTCCTCTCGACTGAGAAAGACACTGGTGTTATATAGCTCTCCCAGTTCCAGACCCACACTGACTATTGGCTAATACCTGCCCAGTATCGTTCATATGCAAATAGTCTGTGTCACCTACTCTAAGTAGAAGGACTTCTCTCAACAGCCCATTATGGAAGGGGACACAACTCCTGGTGTTTACAGCACCACATAGAACCAACTCGGAGATTTTATTGGGCTGACCCGATTCTCTTTTACATCCTCCTTTATGGCAGTGAATATGGGACAATCGTCCTACAGATGAAGAAGAGACTAAAGTCAACAAAAATATGGTTCTACAGAAGGATGCTGAGAACACTATGGACCAAACATGTAAGCAATGACAATTTAGAAAAAAAATGGATACTTATACTTAACATCAGAAAGATATCGTCAAAATTTTTAGGGCACATAATGAGGAAAGAGGGCTTAGAAAACTTGATACTCACAGGACATTGAAAGCAAGAGAGAGGAAGACAGTGAATAACCTACCTAATGAGTTTGTGTAAATGTTTAGTAGAACAGGGATTATGAAAGATAGCGGAAATACAAAATTTACTAAGAACTACAAAAGACAGGAAATTGTGGAGAGCCGTGATCGTCCATGTCCTGAACAGACAAGGCAGATGTTTTAATCCATATCCTTTCTCCATATATTTTGGCCAAGTTCATACATTCTTGATTTCAGGTGAAAATTTTCAAACAAATTTCAGTAAAATTTTCACTTTCCAAAATTGTAGTTTATAATTATAGTTGAAATATATAGAAAAAAGAAGACTTCAGTTTAAAAGAAACATATGGTTTAAACTCAACATATGAATATTTAAACATTCTCTCACAATAATATTATCTACCATTATATCATCTTTTCAATGACAATGTAAATAGGAGTTAAAAATATTAGTGTCACAGCATATTGCCATGCATTTTAGGAAATAGCCCTAACCCTAACCTTTTTAGTGCGATGGGGAGGTGCAACACCTAAGTTTATACTTCTTATCCTTAAAGTGGTTTATTATTCATGATTCATGTTATTCTTAATTTTTTTTTTTTTTATCTATGTTTGGTATCATATACAAAGGTAACCATTATATTGGATATCATATAAAAAGAAAAAAAATCTCTCCTTATTATAGTGTGGCATAATTATGTTCTTTATAACCAATAATAGAAATGATTATTAAGTTGTTATTCATTTATATCAAATCAGAATAATAATTTTCAGAATATTCTGAAAATGATATTTGCGGCTTAAAAATATTCCTTAAAATTTCCAAAGTATGGTCTATAATAGTGCTACTTAAATACACTTCTCCACTTGTAAAAAAATAAAATAAATAAATAAATAGGGAAACTATTTTTGGAAATAATTTTTGCACATTAGCATTCTTTAGACCATCCTTAGGCCATGATACTTGTCAGAATATAAACATTGATTTTTTTTATTGATTTAGAAGTGGGGTCCTGTTAATCATTGACTTTTACAGTTATTGAATTAACTGTTTTCCATATGAAAGCAAACTTTTTGGTGGATGCATGAAAAGATTTAAAAAAAAATAAAAAACAAAGGGATATATACATTTTTAATTAAAGAATAAAAATTTATATAAATTAATAAAAGTATGTATCTGTTAATTCTTCATTTAAGATAAATTATTAACCTTAAATGTTTCTGTATTTGCTTTCAAAAAAAAATCTCATACAAAAAATGGTTTTTGGAAAAAATTAAAGAGTTAAAAAAAAGTTTACCAAAAAAGCTGAATTCAGATAATAAAAAACTACATGTAGATATCAATGATGTTACCACACTTTCAAAATTGACTTTTAAATAACAGCTAAGTTCAATAATTCTATAAAAGTCAAGGACCAACTTTTTACATTATTTACATTATTCGGGCTATTGTCCTCATCTTTGTCGCCATATATATTACAACGTTTCGATTGTTGTATGCTCCAGCCTTCTTCAGGTGGTCGGAATGTTGAACTTAACCCTTTATTTTGCTCACTGGGGTAGACTGTTCTAGTTCCACGTGCCATGTTTAATGGATGTCATCAAGGACACGTGGCACAGTGGATAAAGGTGTTGGTTAGATCCAGTGACAGGACCTAAAGAGTGTAAATTCAATACCCGGTTAGACAGTGGAGAACTTTCAGAGGGAAATTAACAGGAGATAACTGATAACTGACATCCATCATGTCAGGGTACAGTGGCTCCACCTACCATTACCTTTATATACTGTCTTCAAAAATTTAAAGGCAATGCCATTCACCAACTTTTGTCTTCCTGAATCCTGTTCTTTTGTTGCTCTTCCACTTGACTAAAATCTCATTCTCTTTCAGTAACCCCTTGCATCTTAGTGACATTATCTCCTTGCTTGGGTCGAAATGATTAAAAAAATACATACCAAACCTGTTGTGAAATATCTGAACTGTCAGCTGAATACAACTGCTTCCTAAGACCAATGACTGAAAAAGGCTTTGACTGAGTAAAGTCTGAGGGTCTTGACAAAGATCATTCTTTTTTGAATATTGTGGACTGATGCTACAGAACCGCAAAGAACTCTAGCAAATAACAGAAATGACATCAATTGAGGACTAACAACACCAGCAACAAGTAAAATGGATAGCACATGTAACTTGAAAGGAAAATAATTCCATAATCTAGATATTAACATTCCACACCACTTCAAACGAAAGGTTAGGAAGGAAATCCCCTTCACTACTAGAAAGAGTGATAACAGTTACTGAACTTGAGAGATCTGTTTTCCTGAAAAGTGTTTTAAGAGAAAGATTTTATAAATTTCAATTGAAAACAGTACTGGCAGCTCAATCAATGAATGGCAAATGTTTCCTTGTAGGGAAACGGTTAATATTACCATTAGTATACTACTAGCTCAAAACAATACTCTCCACTTCTTCCTGTTGTCTTCTAATTCCTGTTGGTAGATTATTTCCATGAAAGATCCAACTTCTAACCTAGCTTTCCGGTCCATCCCATGTAAATTTATATTCATCACTTTTTATGAAGACATTTTTATATCATTACAATAACAATTTGATCTCTTTTTTCTAATTGTCTTTCTAGTATATAATGTTTAAACAAAGTTTTTTTTTAAATTTGTTCTTTCTTTTTCAACAACATTTTATAAAAGTAAATCTTCATTGATATAATTAAGTTGTAACAAAAGTAGTTTCATTTTTATAGACCTTCAAGGCTTATTTTCTCTACACATCTAAGGCTTATGGCCATATCATGTTGTAATACTTGTTCTAGTCTGATCACAAAAGTTAAGTAATGTTGAGCCTGGTCAGTACCTAGATGAGTGACCACTTGGGAATAACTGGTGCTATAGACTTGGATGGCTGATCATCTAATGCATAAAGAATTTGAATTGGAAATTTTGGATAGCTGAGTTCCAATTCCAGTTGGGTTTGTTATATTCACTTCCGCACAAATACCATTGGGAAACATATGAATTCACCTCTTCTCCTCCCTGTTATAGGTTAAATAGCAATACTTTTATCAGTAAAATCATTATTGTTTACAAATTCTTACAATCCCAAAAAATTTTTGGCTTTAAATAACCTTAAAAAAGTTGATAAGCCATAACAAAAAACAATTCAATCAATCAACTTCTACACATCTAAAGGTGATCTGTCTATATTTCTGAGATGAGGTATTATGTACACTATTTACATTATATTCGGACTATTGTTCTCATCTTTGTTGCCATATTTATCACAAGGAATCAGCACATATGCTAGGCCACAAAAATCTCCTGAGCCAACCAAGCATAGAAATGAATACAATATGGGAACCAGTAATAAGGAGTGCCATAGAAAAGCGATAATAACAACAAAAATTGCAATATGAGCTCTGGTAAAAACATGAAATGATAACAGCAAAAATTACAATATGAGCGCTGGTAAAAAATGAGCTGATGACATTAGGTTTATAAAACCCAGAAATTCATACACCTGGCACAGTGGATAAAGGCGTTAGTTAGATTCAGTGACAGGACCCAAAGAGTGTGAGTTCAATACCTGGGTAAGTCAGTGGAGAACTTTCAAGGAAATTAATTAACAGGAGATAAGTGATAACTGACATCCATTAAACATGGCACGTAGAACTAGAACAGTCTACCCCAGTGAGTGAAATAAAGGGTTCAGTTTGACATTCCATCCAACTGAAGAAGGCCAGAGCATACAACGGCCAAAACATTGTGATAAATATGACGACAAAGATGAGGACAATAGTCTGAATAATATAAATAGTATATCTGAAGATGACTGTAATTGTTTTGAAAGCTTTTGACAAGGCTTACTAAAATGAAGCAAATATTTATTTAACTTAGCATGAAAATTCCCAGAAAAATATATGAAATTCAAGGTAGTTATATTATTAGAGTGGATCAAAAGCATTTATATTTTTAATGTGGAACCTTTTGAGAGACTTGTATGGTTTTGAAGTTTATGTAATTCTCTACATATTGTATTTTTCAATAGCTCTTCTGAAAGTTTTTGAGTGCTGATGATTAAGTTCCCTTACGTTTTAAAGTATCAAAGTCATCAGCTGATGGTTGTCAAATTCTGGACTTTATTTATTTCAAGAGATAAATCCTCTTAAAATAATGAAACAAGTTTCAGGTACTATGAGCAAAATTATTATCAAGATTTGTTTACTTTTTTTCTTAAGCTTATATAATTCTCTACATGTTATTTTCCATGATTCCCACTCTTCTGAATGTTTTCTTCTTTACCTTACATTTTATAGCATTCTAATTATCGATTGTCAACTTCTGGGCTTTATTTGAACAGATAAATTACTGCAACCTTAAAATGCTGAAACCAATTTTAGACAGTAGGGTCAGATATTTCTCATTTCCTTTCATTTCTTCAATTCTGTGATAACATCTGAAACAAAGGAGACTGTTAAATTCTTCTTTTATGTGCCTTATTCCTTCAGGACGTGAGCGATCATGGTTCTCCACAACTTCCTATCTTCTGTTATTTTATGTAACTTTTGATTTTTTTTTACCATCCATCTTTGTCCCTGTTCTCTTACACAAATCTACAAAGTAGTTACCTCACCCCAAAACTGCATCTCTTGCCTTCAGTATGACCTATGAATGTTAAATTTTCTCAGACCTCTTTCTACATTATATATTCCAGAAATTTTAGCTATCATTTTCTGATTACAGGTATAAGATTCTTTGTAGATTTTATTTTCCTTAAAGCTTCCTTGATGCTCATATGTTCTGTCTATGATATTCTTAGCATTTTTCAGTAGAACCTTATCTCTTTGTTTCAAGCCCTTTATTCATCTCTCAAGAAATTGTTCAACATTCACTGCCATATAGGAAATTTTCTTTATTTCTAACAGCATTCTCTCATTTACATTATTTGGACTGTTGTCCTCATCTTTGTCGTCATGTTCCCAACGTTTCAGCTGTTGTATGCTCCGGCATTCTTCAGGTGATTGAAATTTCGAATTGAACCCTTTTTCATTCACTGGGGTAGATTGTTCTAGTTCCAGATGCCATGCCTCTTTTGGATGTTTCACTTATCTCCCTTTAACTCAACTCTCCAAGTTTTTGTTCACCACTATAATAGCCAGGTATTAAACTTACAACTCTTTGAGTCAAGGCACTGGATCAAATCAATGCTTTTATTCCCTGGGTCATGTATCCTTGAAGACAAATCCAATCAATGCTTTTATCCACTGGGCTATGTGTCCTTGAGGATGAACATTCTCTTAATACACAAATGAATAGTCTTAATAATAGTTTCAATAGTAAACCAGTTAATAACATCCAATATGTCATTCAAAAAGACAATCATATAATGGAGTCATAAATCATCTTAAAATCTGTACATGAAAGAAACTTTAGAGTAAAGGTCTTTAAAACAAAAATACTTTTGATACACTGTAATAATGACAATAAGAATTAATATAGATCAGTGTTTTGTGTATTTATCAATAGATAATTAAAAATATGATAATATACAAGTGCTTCTAAAACATTTTAAAATAGAGAAAATCTTTTTACATTTGAGTTGAGAGAATAATACGTCTATAATATAAATTTTATCTTTCTGTGAATTTATGAGAACACAAATAATTTTAGAGAGAGAAAAAGTAAGATAGTGTTGGTAAAAAGAGAGAGAGAAAGAAATTTATTATTGAAATCAAAAGTGCTTTTCTGATTTCAGCTTAGCCTCTACTGTAGTAGGAGACAGTAATATTTCAGCTTGTTTTTTTGTTATAATCTTATGTCTGACATCTAGAAAATTGCTCTACTGTGTTTAAAGATAAGATCATTACATCTAAAACTCCTTATAAGCTCTTGAGATTATCAGGATTATTTCAATTTGTCTTCTGCTTTGGCTGTGGTCATTTTGGTCAATAATTAGTTTTCTCAGGATTTTGCCAATTTTAGTACAGTATTTAAGATAATCCTAACAAAACATTGCTTTAGAAAAGTATTATTATCCATTTTTTTTTTGAGTGCATAGATATTTCTTCTTTATTATTTCTACAGGTATTTTTGTAGGATTCTCAAGTTCTTATATATTGATTTACTCTGACTAGCACCCTCATCTTGATTGCATTATTTACCATGTTTCAACCATCATACATTTCTGTTATATTCGGTAACTTTCTTCATGTTCTTAAATAGCCTCATCAGATCAAGACTCATGTGGATGCCATGCATAGTGCCAAAATCATTCAGAAATATCTAAGCTATCAGCTGTATACAACTGCTTTCTCAGATCAATGGTTAAAAATGGCTTCAAGGGAATGAAGCATGTAGGTCTTAGTGAGGAGCACCTTTCTTTGAATCTCGTGGACTCACTACAGAATCACAAACAATGAACTATACCAAATAAGAGAGATCACATTACTTGAGGATTTTTTATTAGTAGTTACAACTAGAATGGAATGAGAGAGCTCATGTAACTTGAAGAGAAAGTAATGATATAATGAATATCCTGACATTTCACATTATTTCAAAACAAAGGTTAGGAAGGAAACTCCCATCAATACTGGAAAGAGCAATAACAGTTACTGGACTTGAGAAATCTATTTTCTTAAAAAAATATTTTGACAGAAAGATTTTATAAATTCAACCAAAAGTAGCTAAAAAACAATGTTACTAAAAGCTTCAAAGGTGAGGAAGTTGTGGAGAGCCATTATTGCTTATATACTGAAGGATTGATTGATTTGTTTTCTATGGCTTATCAAACATTTGCAGGTTATTTAAGCCAGAATTTTTTTTTGAGATAATAGTAGCTTAGAGATACAAGTCTTAGTAATTAACCCATAGCTGATGGGAGAAGAAGTGAATTCATACCTTTCCCAAGGATATTTGCATGTAAGTGAATATAACGAACATAACTGAAATTGGAACTCTGCTCCCAAATTAACAATTCTGAGTCATTATCTATTACACCACCCACACATCCAAACTTACAGCACCTGATATTTGCAATATTTTGAAAGGAGCATAGCATATAGAATAAGCATGATAACATGCAGCCTTGACATGACTTATTCCCCCCCCACCCCCACCACCAACAGCTCCTTTTCCAATGGATGCAATGTCACAAGCCTGTGTTACTATTTACATGATAAATGTTCAGAGGAGTTTGATTACTTAGTACCACTGGTTCAGACCTTTGCATCCAGGACCCACCTTGCTATAAATACAAGTTTGAATCATCCTCATTCCCTATGTATTCCACTGGAAAGAAAGATGTTCCACTTCAAAAGCTTCCTTCCAAGAACCACTACTTTGTTGAACTGTCTTCTATATGAATGCTTCCTTGAATGCTACAATCTAAATCTCTTCAAGTCTAGGTTCAGTTGTTACCTATCCTCCATATCTTTATTTCATACTCTACATTCATATCACACAACTCATTCAGTAACCCTCTACCTTGAGTCGTCCTGGGTATGACAATAAACTACATCCATGTCCTGGGTAAGACGATGAATTACGTCCAGCAGCAAGGCTTCTGATCAGGAGGTTTTGAGGAGCATGGAATAAATTTTTGAAGAAAAAAAACTATTACCAGCAATACGTTTTTGAAAATATATTACCAGCAATACATTTTTGAAGGAAGAAATTATTACCAGAAATAGTTTTTTAACAAAACAAAATATTACCAGCAATAAAAACTTTGTCAGCATTAAATAACCCATTGAGGTTGATATGCCATAAAACACAACAAACCAAACCAAACCAAACTAAACCAATCTACCTTGAGTGGCTTTTGGGTCTTGTATTAGGTGAACTTTAGTGCAAGTAGTACAATGGTTATCAGTGCTGAAAGTGGAATTGGCATG